GGATTAAACTTAGGTATTTAACTCACAGCAAATTTCCGATTTGGGGTAAATCTAGTCTGTAACATTTTTTTATTTATTTTTAGGGCCATCCTAATAACTTGTTGGCCTCACTGAGGTGATCAGGGCAGATAAGATTTTTTGAAAAAACTATACTTGTAATGAGCCATCAGATGTTTTTCTAAATTGAAACGCTATAAAAAAAACAACTTTCTTGGTATCTTTCTGCATATACGATTCTACTATACCCTCGAAATACCTCATTATTTCATCAATCCCGTAAATGGCAATCAAAAGCGAGTATCGAGCGCGATTCGTACCCCTCTCCCCACACCACCCTTAAGCATTAACAGACCACCAAGCGGTCACATAACGGCCTCTCAGTGCGATGGATGTCCGTTACGTATGCATATAGCGCCCTCTAACGTTGACCGCAATCCGGTTCGTTAAATTGTGACAATTTCGGGGGCAAACTCGAGAGAAGTTCGAAGGTCTCCGAGATAATTTTGACCTCGCCCATCGGTGCGGACACAAATCGACTGTTTAATTGCGTGCCAGCAATTACACGGACGTTTGCGTAGACATTTGGACAATTCTATATGTGGACACTGCAGTGCTTACCGTGTTCTTTTACAATTTGTAATTGGTGGTCAGTGTTTTTCTGTAAAAAATTGTACGAAATACAAGAATATTGAAGAAAAAATAAATATATTCCTTCAAATGAAAAGACATTTTTCATTGGGTGGAACAAAAAAAGCCTTAAGATGGTTCCCATCCTCATCTTTTGCGCTGCAGTTGCAGGTTGTTCGACTTGCGGTAATACTGTGTTGAACGCAAACAAAGTTATTGAATTTGTGGCATTTTATCATTTCCATAACATAAACGACCTCTTTAAGTATCTTTCTTATTCCTCTTCCTATACTTTCTATAGCTGCAGTAAAACCCTGACCATCCTTTTCAATTTGCTATGCCCTTACCTTTTCGATATGTTATGGAAGAATTACGATGGCATTCTGGATATGTTGTTATCCACAAAACAAAAACATTGTGACATGCTATGTCAATCTAATTAAAAAATAGTGTAAGCGGCTATCTTCTTGTATTTCTTTTTCAGGAATTGGTCTATTACGCACAGGTTGGTCTATTACACAGACGCCACTTTTTGTTTTATTGTATGCCAGAAAGATTTCAGGCTCAAATTTTTCCTTTCAATCGCCAATTTCATGAACGTGATGAGTAGATGTTAGGTCTCTACTATATAGAAAAGATGAATAAAGAGCACTTGATTTTAAATCCCAAAGATTCTTTGGGAAGTCCTTCCCATTTTTGCGCATAGTGCCGATTAGGGGTAGCTTTTCTTTTAGAAGATCTTCCGCAAGAGTTATGTGTTACATGTTTTTAACAAGGTAGGTCTTAATTTCTCCATCGTTTCCTAAGTAAGCTTCAAAATTGCAGCAGTCAAATGCAATCGGATCATGTAATGCCCAAATTTTTATCCCATATTTTCCAGGTTTGCTGGATATGTACACCTTAAATGGGCAGCGGCCTCTGTAACTCATCAATTGCACATCTATTGTTCCATATACTGATGGGCAATACAACTACATCACGAATAAGAATCTTGCCTTTTTCTTTCTGTTCTTATAGAAATATCGTCAAACGAAGGAAACGTAAGATATCGCTATATCTGATACGGCTCATACAATCTTGATTCATTTGTGGAAGACCACACATTAACTCGGCATTCTTTTGCTTCTCTCAATCTTTCAGATAAAACTAGTATTGCGCAGAAAGTAAGTAATTTTTTAACATCTACATCTTCCCATGATTCAATGAAATTGTCTTCATGAGTCTCATTGCGTTTAGTAATAATTTCTTTCACTCCTTGATTAGTAAATTTTACGATCATATCAAAAATCTGGTCAGATTAAAATAAAGAAAAACAATCCAGAATAGAATCGATAGGTTTATTTTCTCTGCCAGACTTGTTTCTTTACGAATAAAATCAGATTCCCTTCTTTAATTCTTTTAGGAATTAAGTATTTCTTTATACGACCAGCAACTTCAATATTGCGGCCTAAGTCTTAATGGTTATCATGATATTTATCACTGGATAAAATTCTGTTATTCTCCTCGATATTATCTTCTACTTCTACTTCATTCTCTTCTCCTGAATAGTTCATAAGAATAGAATATTATGCAACAAGTGTGGTAAAGAGTATTTTAGTTACGAGTTAATTTGACACGAGCTTAGTGTGGCGGAGCGAGTGTTTAATAACCGAGTGACTTAAAAAGTTTACCAAACGTTCAGGATTGACAAACGTTAAAATTAAAGATGTGCTCCGAACACATTCTCCTTTCCCAAACCCGTGGGAAACGAAACTAACGTCGTAAAATGGCAGTTTCCGCACGCTAGATTGGTGTATAATCAGGTATTTTACAAAAAGGAGTGGAAAAATAGTATATTATGCATCAAGTGCGGTAAACGGCATTTGACACACGAGCTTATTTGACACGAGCGGAGCGAGTGTTTAATGAACTAGTGAGTTAAAAAGTTTACCAAACGTTTTGCATACTATACTTTTTCTACGACCGTTAGTTTTTGGGTACATTTTCGCAAAACAATAAGAATACATTCACTGACATGACCATCAGAATTGGCAGACTTCAAAATTCAAAGCGTGTGAAATATTTCCGAAAACATCCGATTGCTCCCAAACCCGTGCGGTAAAATCCCGAAGTGGCTGGGATCCGTGAGAACCTAAACTGACGTGGAAAAGTGACGCTTCACGCACACTAGATAGGTGTGCAATTAGTCATTTTACAAACGGGAGTAGAAAAAAAAGTTTTCCTTTAGATAAGCACTTTTTACATGTCATCACAAACACTACTTTACATTTAAATCTTACAAAGTAAGTTGTTACAAACAAAATGAAATAAAACACAGAATACCAAAACTGGGTGATACATGACCCGGAACAATAAAATACAAATTATTCTTAAACTGTAATAGTAATATAAGCAAAACAAAAATTGCTTATTATTGCTTATGATTTAACAGAGCCTTCCAGGAGAATTCTCAGAAGAAAAAAAAATCTATTTTTTAAAACTATTTAGAAAATAGAAAAACTCAATTTTAAATCGATTTCTGTCAGATGAAGTTCAAACGCACAGTTCCGGAATCATTGGGCCGATATTTGAACTGATTTATTTGAGGTATTACAATCTTGCAGTGATCCATCGCATCGCATCGCATCATCTCAAGTTTTTTCAAATACACACTCACAAACGGAGAAATATATATCATATGGGTCAAAACTCAAGGCGCGTTCAGTTCCAAGCGCGGCTCTAAGCGAATCAGATTGTGTCTGATTTTTAGTGGAACTTCATTTTTCGCACAGCAGCAGGTCCCACCAACTGGTGAACCTCGAGGTTTACCTGAATAGTGTGTGGCCGCAATTCGTTTCGCACTTGCTAGGGGAACTTACCTGGATTCACTTGCGCGGACTTGCCTGCAAGTGTATAGCTCCCATAAGAATAGTACCAACTAAAAAAAGTCCTGTGGAGTTAGCTCTGGGCGCAATGGAGGCCAAAGATAACGTTGAGTAATCCAGTAGTAAAGAAAAACAATTAATAGTGTAACTTATGGATCTTTATAATATTTACGAACACAGAGAACTATAATCATTTTTGTAAATTTTAAAATTTTTTCTTCATTACCTCAGCAATGTAATTTTGCCACATCCACGCTTGCTTCAAAATTCGCTGCAGGTATTTTAAGGGTGTATAAGGATCCGTACTGACTGATAATGACCAATAATTCGGTAATTTTTCAAAGAAACTTCCACAGGCTACTGTAATGGTTTTTACAAAACTTCTGGATTCCTCCTGAGTCGGTTTTTGCTTAGTCGAAATTGCTGACGTTTCGCCAATCATCCTGTTGGCTTCTTCAGAGCTTGACTGAAACCGACGCAGGAGGAATCCAGAAGTTTTGTAAAAAGCAATAATTCGGTAATTTATGGTCCTCTCATATTCTCCATCGTTGAATTGGCCTTTCAATGCTCTATCTAGACATAGCATAATATACGAGTGTACCTTTGAAAAAAAATGAGAAAACTGATGATGCGAAAAGTATGGCAGCACTCGAACTTTTTTTCATATAACCAGTAATAGTATTGCAACACATTTTCACTTTAACATGCAAGTTGGGACAAATAAATAAACCACAAGGGCACTTTTTTTATATTCAAAGATATTTTGAAACAAATTGAAATTCCGTAGATAAATCAGTTTAAATATAAGAAAGTAATGAAGACGAACGTCAATAATTCCGAAAGGATGCGTTGAAAGCCCATAAATATATTAAAAAATATATTTAACGAAAAGCCCTAATTAACAAAGCAACTTTCTTATTGATCTTTTTGTTCAATTTCTTTTAGTTCCTAAGACAAGGCAGTGAACGTGCGATCCTATACATGAAGCTGCCATAAGCTTCGCCTGTAGCGGATATTATTAGAGTTAACACAAGTTTTTCTTCTGCAGATCGAAAAATTATGTTCATTTTCTTTATCTGGGATTTCAAGCGACACAGTATTATATCAAAACTGAATCTTTTGACAGCTTCAAAAACTACTTGAACTATTTAGGATCGTCTCTAAAATCATTTTTAACCAATTTTAACTCCGCTTTATTTTCATTTTCTTTCTAAGGAATGACCCGCCACCTCTTTCGATTTTAAGTAGAAAAAACAGTCAAACATAATATCTAAATATTATAAATGGTTAAACCTCATTTTGAGAGTAAAATAACTTCACGAGCTGGCATTATTTACCAAGACCTTCATGCAGAAATACACCAATTGCTTCATGAATGTATCTTCAGGGTAAGAATAGTATTAAAAACATAACAATATAGACAATAAGCCAAAGAAAAATGCTCAACTCAATTTTTAATTTAAAAATTTTAAACTCCAAAATTATAGCATATTTGCGAAAAAAACTTACTTTTCTAAAGTCTCCCTGGATGACCATCGGTGGGGGATGGTTGGGCCTATTATTAGGGGCAACTGGAGGTGTACGTAGCGGCGACGCAGTGAGATCCAGAGCCTCTCGTCCATTATCCTGAAATAAAAACCGTTTTCGTAAAAGCGTCACACAAAAAAATTCTCTTTCCAGCTGTCTTTTTTGCCGATTCAATTATTTACAATCTCGTAAATTATATAATCGATATAAAACACCCAGAATTACTAACTAACCGACTTTAATAAATATTTCAGACCTCTTTGAAATGACCACAACAAAGAAGAATTATTTTTTATTAACCTATACGCCCACAAATTCTCTAACACGGGTCTTAAATTATTTTGTGATTACACACTTTCATATTTTTTATTTAAAATAAAAATTGAATTAACAGGCATTAACAACTATTATGTTAAATATACATACATGGTGAACAAAGGTGAACACTTTTAATTAGAAGAATTTTTGTAAAAAATGAAGCACTACTGTGCCAGTCAGACAATATCAGAACTTGCATGTATTTTTAAACCTTACGCATAATATGAAGAGAAAAATGTGTTCCACATCGGGTGAAGTAGATATAGTCCGGCACACGATAAATGGTAATGACTGTCATAATGCTATTTACGTTTTTATCTGCTCGTAGGAATTTTTGGGCCAATAATTCAAAAACAGTCCTGGGTAGTATTTGGTATTGGTATTGGTATTAAAGGCCGGCGCCCTCGCGGGCGTCCAAGCACTTAGGCCACCAGATGGGCCCCAGGCCGCTCTAGAGGGCGCCCAGAATGCCGCCCTTCCTATAGAAGGTCAGCAACTCCTTTAGCCCAATACCGTGCACTGAGTCCGGATCGATCCCTGGGTAGTAGTAAGGAAATTAAAACAAAGATATTTATATATTCTGTTATATTGAGCACTATAAAATAGTAATTACGTTAATAATAAATACATAAACAAATATATACTTTATAGTTTTAAGTTGTCTCATTTTTTTAAAAATTATTATTAATACTTCCTGCACATTCTCTCCAACTGCCTTCTGGTATTAATTCACACTGAGTTTTAATTGCCTCAATTATACAGGCGAACATTTTTTGGTTTAAACTATTGCGGCTAACTTGGTTTCTTAATTCGGCGAATATCATTTCTATCGGATTCAAGTCGCAGTATAAAGTGGTTCTTAAAACTTCAACATAAGGGTTATGCAGGGCCTACGATTTTGTTTTTCCAAATCACGCACCACAGCTTCACTGAAATTCTCCCAAACTTATTAATTTCAATCCCTGTTTTTTGTTTTCCCTGGTCCAGTAATAAGTGTGTTTTCGAAATAAGTCACTAAAAATATTTTCATTGAATTTTTTCTAGAAAAGTATTGCAGTGACCTAACCTGCTGTTCAAGTTTCTGCACCGGAAAAAACTTGTAGGGCTTCCATTTATTAATCCGAAGACAAGATTGGAGTTGGATGAAGAATATTGTGTCATGGGCGCCGAACCAAGTAACCTCTAAATATATATTTCGTTTTTCTAAGCGAAATTGATAAATTTGATTTAATAGAATATTAAGCAACAAGTGTGGTAAACGGAATTTGAGTCACGAGTTTATTTGGCACGAGCGAAGCACAGCAGAGCGAGCGTTTAATAAACCCCCAAGTCTGCTCCCATCGTTGTGTGTAATTTTAAACTTTATGGTCGACAACAATTTGCCAAATAATATTTACGAGGCAGATAAACTCAAACAGCAGTATTTACCTTTGTACAACATATACTTGATATTTTAGAAAAAGGGTGAAATGCTGTTAGCGATGTTTCTTGATTTGTCAAAGCGCATAATAATAACTGGCCGAAAACGTACCTTTCAACAAGAAAGCAGCTAGTTGTAATCTGCATGGGCGAAAATCGGGTACTATCAGAGAAAAAAATATTGCAGCAGGTATACCGCAGGGCAATGAATATGTATAGTACATTAACAACATTACATAATTGTACGCATTTGGTCAAAATTGTAAATAAAGATAATTGTAAATAAAGATACAGCAAACCTCAAAAGAGGGGCTAGTAGATTCATGATAGGAGCGAATAATTGGTTTACTAAGAATCAATTAGTTATTAACAAGGCTAAGACTGCTGTGATTAGAACAAATCCATCAAGAAAAAAACCACCGCAAACGTTAAATTTAAACAATTGTGTTATTGCTTTTAATGATTGCACAATGTTTTTGGGTATGTGTTTGGATAGCACCTTATTCAGGGAAAATGATGTACACGACGTAGTAGATAAATTAAATTAAGTAAATGAAGTAGTTTTAGAATATTAGGAAGGTATATTCCATGGGAAACTAAAAAAATACTTTGTCACAGCAATTTTGAGTCTCATATGGGATACGGTTTGTATGGAAATTGGAGAGACAGAAAGAATTATTATTTGCCTGCGAACTATCCTGCAGCTGAATTTTCAAAAGTTATGCAGGGGAGAATTTAAAAACAAAATTTGTTCCTTAGACATTGAGTCTCAGGAATTTACACTACAAGAACCATGAATATCACAGCCAAACCAACTGTCTGTTTCACAAACTGTCAGCAGTCAAACTGATTGCTGAATGTCGCATGGTCTTGTTAATTGAAAGCGAGATTTTGGTTGAACGGGAACATTTTTGTTAATTGGTTCGAGAACTGTAAAGATTTCCTCAAGCACGATGGTTAATTAGAAGTACATGAAAAGTTTTTGAGATATTTTGCTTATTTTTTTATTCAAAACATGGCTCCAAATCTTTGATACAGCCACTTGCAAGGCGCTGAAATTTTAGCTATAGTTTAGAAACGTATGTTGCAGTGGTTAAAGTCCGCCCGCTGTATTATGAACGGTAAATAATAAACATTTTCCATCGGCGGCTTTCAATTTATATCAATAAAAGAACTGTAGGTGCCATTATTTATAATTTATATAAAAATTAAAAAGATTATATTAAATAAACAGTAAAAAGCTAGATATACACCAAAACATAATAATAATAATTTTCTCTTCAAATTTCTTGACTTGGCTGTATTTATTTGCTAATTACGTAAGTGTTTTTAAAAGACCCTGTTGCCTTCTGTTTTTAATTGTTTCTTATTTCTTATTCAGAGCGCAAAACAGCAACCTCAAGTAATAGTTTTTGTAACATAGAAAATGTAAAGTTTTTAATTTAAAGAACTGTTTTTAAATACATAAGTCAACGTTTACTATAACAGTCTTGAAACTTTAGTATATCAAATAAAAAAATCTGATGATATTTGATTTTTTTTTCTGAAAATTCTGGCAGAGGGCATGGACGTTCAAACCATAAAGAAAAAGTGGCAAAATTATTTATCGAACTGCATTTTGAATGTACTTGCATCAGAAGAAAAAGAATATCCATTTTACACTGTGGTTCCACGAAAGGTTTGGGTGACAAATGCTTTGCTAAATTCAGCAAATAACAGCATAGCACTTTAGATAAAAAAAAAAACAACTATCAGCAGCAAATTGAGGTACTGCAAGAGTACTTTAGTCAGCATGACCTTTATATTGAAATTGGAAAAGTCACAGTAATTTTTCAGAATCGTTGCCTCAAGCTCAATGCTGACAAAATTACTGCAAAAGTTTTTTGGTGAAAAAAAAAACATTTTTTTTTTGCAAGTCTACAAATATTGTATTAAATATACTTTGTATACAGTGTATACATTGTATCATTGTATAATTGCATTAAGTATACACTCTAAAGATCAAATACAAAATTTTGAGTTGTTAATTGAAATAGGGTTGTAACTGATGTAACGAAATCTCATTGTGAAGTAACACTAGAGAGCAGTTGGAGAGAATATGTTAATCATATACTTGAAGTGATAAACAACAGACATATGAGAGCAGCGCCAAATTTCTGGGTCGGAATATGAAAGAAACAAAGTAGAGTAACATTTTTTTATTATTTTTCAATATAATCCCAATAATACACTTATTACATCTCTTTATTAACAACTCAATCCCTTTAAAAAAATATTCTTTTGGTGTGTCTGCAAAATGACTTAAAAGAGCCTCTTTTAACTCAACTGCGTCATTAAACCGCCATCCACGTAATTCCTTTTTCAACTATCCAAATAAATAATAGTCGCTGAGGGCCATATCTGGACTATAGAGAGGATGATCTATCTGTTGGAACCCACACTCTAAAATGGCAGCTTGTGCAACACCAGCAGCATGGAGAGGTGCATATCGTGTAAAAGACGCACGCCTCTGGTCAGTTTTCCTCGACGTTTTATTCGTATGCAGTCTCGCAATTTATGTAATAATGTTGCGTAATTTTTACCATTGACAGTGATATTAGTTTCTTTAAAATCTATCAGAAGAATTCACCTTTTTTGTTGACTGGCAGACTCTGAATTTTCTTGGGGGTACTTCACTCTTACGACGCCACTCCATTGATTCTTTTTTCGATAGAGGGTCATAATAGTTTCATGTCCAGTCACAGTAGTTTCTATCACAGGCTTAGGTTCCGACCCACAGAGTTTCAAAAAAGAACGCGCACACTCGACACGGCGTTGTTTTTGAATAGCCGAAAGGTTTTTAGGAACCCATCTTGTACTAACCTTATGCATACCTAAATGATCATGCAGGATTTGACGAACACTTGTATCAGAAAGCTTAGTAATTTCTGAGATATCCTTGACCTTTAAACGTCGATCACTTAATACCACTTCTTCCATAATAGCAACAATATCTTCCATTATGACCTCCACTGGTCGACCAGTTCTTGAATCATCTTCAAAGGACTACTGCCCCATTCGCAAACGTTTTGCCCATTCTTTCACTACAGAATAAGAAGGAGAACTTTGGCCGTACACACGATGCAGCCTTTCTTTAATAATTTTAGGTGCTTACCCTTTTTTGTCAAAATCTTTATGGCTGCTCTATACTCAATTTGCGTTATATGCGATATTTTTTTGAACACGTCTTGTTTAAGATGCTATCCATAAAAAAAATTATTTGACGCAAGACTTCTTTTTTTTTTCGCAGCCTGCTAAGATATATATTTAAAAGAAGACAAAGTTTTATCGTGATACTGGAGCTGCATCTATGTCAGACCGGG